TCAATCAGACGAACTTCTTCCTATGATATTTTTATTATTGGGCAGAAAATCATAATAAGCCGCCGGATAAATCCGTTATCAGGTATGCTGATATTTTAATTATTTGGTCAAGAATTTTAAAAAATTGAATTCCTTCGGAATTCAATTTCTTAGTCTGATCTTAAATCCTCGACCAAATAAACAGATGTTGTGATAGTATTCGACCCGAACTTTGCGGTGGTTGATTTTACTAAGTACAGTACATTAAAAAAAAACCCCCCCTTTATTTTATGTATAGTGTTTAAAATTTATAAATGCTATACACACCTATGGTGCTACAGCATACAAAACAGATGTAATAAAAAAAGCTTTATAGTATAAACGTGAAATAATACCCATATATGATTACGCTGAATTAAGCTTAATGTAAGTCATGATCCTAAATAACGCTCGCTCTTGGGTGTCATTTCGCGATTATTGTTATATTGCACCTTAAAAAATTTAACTAACTATTGAATGATTAAATAAAATATTATATCCAATGTTCTAAGTTTGCAAGTTTGCTATTCTGCATGTTCGATACTGGATTTATCTTGATTGGATTAAATCACGTGTACCATCAATTTTTTTCTCTAATACTGTAATACAGTAACGGTAATAAAATTATGGTTGTCTACTATTTCTCATTTTAGCAAAAGTTTCAACGGTTTTAGTTTCAACTTTTGACATCATGAAAAAATGGTTTCGTTTATCAACTATGATTCAACCTTTTACCTTTTTTAAGGTTTTGTCTTTCGCCAGGGTTTCGCCATTTCACCGGGGGTTTTATCCTTCGTCTTTCGCTGGTCTTTCGTCATTACGTAAAATAGAGTCGGCCAACAATTATGATCATGCTTACGTAAAATTCGTAAATCAAGAAGGAAAACTTGAAGGTATCATATCGGTAAAAAAGCTTTTGTCAACGATTGATCAAGAAAAATATTGGTTGGTAGAAGTAGAAAGTAACGAAAATCCTCCAATATGTAAACTAATTGAAAAAAAGCTCGCATATGAAAAAAGAAAAAAGCAAATCCAAAATACGATAGTTACAAAAGAATTACAAATGACTTGGAAAGTCGAGGACCATGATCTAATTCACAAGATTAGTAGAGCTAAATCTTGGTTAACTAAAGGATATAAAGTAGATATTATTATTTCGAATAGAGGGGTACAGAAAAAGAAAAGAATATTGGATAGAACTATTATGGATAAAATATTAAATGAGTTGAAAGATTATTCTAAGGAAATTCAGGAACCAAAGTGGACTGGTGGATCTGTTATTTTACAGATTACGGGTAAAGGGGCTGATTCTGACAAAATAGAATAAAGTTATAGAAATTTTTCCAATGGATCAGCCTTGAGTGATACGATTACTTGTATTTTTTTTTTTTTTATACTTTTGTGAATTTTGATTTAACAAGCGAATATACATACATAATTGAACAAACTGGTAATTGATGTAATATAGTAATAATTGAAATAAATATTGAATTTCAACACAACAATACTATTTCTTATAATTTAAACTTTGCACCGATTTAGGCTCTACTCATAGCAGTGACAATTCCTATAACATAATATATCTTAGATTCAATGAAAAAAGTTGAGAAACATTTTGAAGAATTTAAAACGATAATTTTAACTCAAATACACATATATGTAAGAATTACTGCACTTTACTCATATTACATAATACTATCCCTATTAATAATACAAAGAACATAGATTTCTTCATTGGTTAAATACAAAATTCCAATTATTTCAACAATAAAAAAAAAAGGAAATAAAGAAGACAATTTTCTTTGAACATGTGATCAGTGGCAACCTGCAATTCTATCATCCTCATCCATCCTTGAAAGCGTTTGTTTACCAAAAAGAAAGAATCCAATTCCTGTACCAACAACTACACTAAACATAAGAAATCCATTGTATGTCATGAATATTAACATAATAAAAAAAGAGATGAACACTTGAATGGAGTAAATGAGTGATCGAATTATTTGTTCTGATCGTGTCAATCTGTAATATAATATAAATGATTTATTCAAGTGTAAATAACATTAATTAGAAAAGAAAAACTTATCAATAAAGTTACCTGATGGTACGATTCACAGGATTGGGTTGATTTTCTTCCTCATTATTATTAATTTGTTGGTAACTTGCCTCGCATATCTTTTCATCAAATTTTCTTGACCAATATCTTAAAAGCTCGTAAAAAGCTCCTAATGAACCAACAATTAAACAAGATAAAAGCAGTGATGGAATTCCGTTTACTTTCCACCAAGAAAATACGATACAAAGATTTGTAATATCCCAGTTGAAAAGCATCTAATTAAATTATTTTTTTAATTTTTTTTTTGTAATTTATTTCGATCAAATACTAGAATTGTTGTATTAAATTCAAATATTCTTACTTTCATCGAACATCTAAACCCATGGTCTCCATGATCCATTTTAATAATTAGACCTTCCAAAAGCAATTCGAACAAGATTTCAAATAACGTACTCTTAAGAAAGGCCGTTATTTCAAGAAAAGTACCTGGACCTATAATTATTTATACTTTGTACATAAACTTTGTGTTGTGATACATTACTTTGCCTGCTCTTAGCCACATATAGCTACAAATGGTATAAATCCTATGAATAGATTAAATGAGTCCACAAACGACCTGTAGATTGCTAATCTAGTTTCGGAGATTAAATTTACATACGTACGTGCCGAACAATGAAAATAATCACATAAGGCCCAAAGCGAAAATAATTACATAACGATAAGGGCACAAACTTCGAAAAAGTTTACAATTAAGAACCAAAATATTCTGCGTTATGATTATAACGGTTATTTGACCGTTATCACTGGGCAGGGAAGGTGAATACTTCCATTAATTAAGAATAAAATTAAGATTGGATTTTGGTTAGCTAAAAAAATTATTTTGGGGGGCTTCCCCATGATCGCCAACAAAATTACTATGTGGGGTTGAGTCAGTGGAAACGCACCATATCGATATCATTTTTAATGAAATTTTTTTGAATCTTTAAACAAAAATAGCTTAAATGAATTCTATAAGTTTTTAGGATTGTTTTTTTTAAAAAGTTTGTTTACTAAATTTGATAAAGTTATTGTTAAGTTTTAATAAAATTTACTTAGAAAAAATATGGTGTGTTTCTAATGACTTCACTCCCACGTAATTTTACGATCACGTGATGATAGACGAATATAAGCCTTGATTTGGGTGTCGCCAAGCGAAAATCTGGAATTTCGATTTTTTGCCGGCTCCGCTTTCTGATCCGATTACTGGTAAACTTAAATAGAGTTAGAACCTCAAGAATTTTTTTAATCCGGATATAACGATAAGTAGAATAAATCCGGATATTTAAATCCGGATTAATAAAATACGTCTAGATAATTTTTTTTTTTTTTTTTGGTGTTAAGGTGAGGCCTTGCTCATATCTTTATTGGTAGTTTTTAAAGTTAGTAACTTCATGGAGTTACTATGTACAAAAATAATTCTATATAAATGCTATGGCTGAGGTCAACACTTGCAGTTAGGGTTAATCATTAAACTGCTAATTATATATAACTAACTTAAGTACAAAGGAAGAAAATTACATTTAAGAGTAAAGTTCAGACATATTTATCTGCAACCTAAACCTATTAGAGTGGTCAAGACTCATCTAGATTTGGATAGTTAAAATATGGTTAAATGAAATATTGTATTTGATCCAGAGAATAGTCCATATATTGATTTTTCTAATAGTATGACCTAGAGGTGGGTATGTATTAAAGTTTGAGTATATTTGGTTAGATAGTTCACATATACATGAGTATGAATGCATTTGGTGGTTGTATTTAGTTTGTCTGTTATGGTTAGTTTGAGTTAGGTATTTAGAAAAGAAAGATTTAAAACCTTGTTGTTTTTTCCAGTTTGCAAAATTTATGCAATATGGTTTCCAGAGTAGTTCATAGCATAGCTCGTTGATTTCAAGTAGTATTTTAATAATTATTTGTGATACTAGTTTATAAGAGATGTTAAGGTTTTGAATAATTTGGATTAAAGATTTGGGTATAAGTCCTTTGAGAATGATATCAAGGTAGAATGAGTTATCATTGAATAGTATTTAGTAAAAAGTTTCATGATTTTGAATTTTTTAAATAAGTTCTTTTTACTGAAATTTAGAAAGGTCAAGGTTATTTTAACTAATATGTTTAGAGATAGTATCTCAAATAATACTAGTGAGTAGTATTGGATTAGAACATGTCCACCAGTGTGTTGGAGAGTCGGGTAAGTTGCAATGAAAACAGTTTGCATTATAGAAAGTATGTGGGTATATTTTATGACATAGGGAGTGTATGTGTAATTTATTTAGTAGAATTTTGATTTTAAAGGATTTAGACTGATTAAGTTTAAAGTTAGTTATATTATGTGTTGGTTTTTGGT